ATATATGATTGCGAACTATAGAGATGAACGAACAAGGGGGAAAATGATACTGTAATTCAAAAGGACAAAAAGACATCACGAGCATGAACCTTTTAAGAGGGATGGAAGTGGAAGTCCATATCCAAGTCACATACAACGTTGACAGATGATTATTAGCATTGACCGTCATACCATTTTGCCAAAAATTATAATGTTGCTTTAATATATTATTGTAGTCTTGAATTGCTATATATTGATACTGTTAAAAATACGGGTTTGGGCCACACCCATCACAGATAGAGAGAGTTCACTTTACAAATCCAAAGGAGTTCCAACCCAAAATCATATGATTATAGGAAGAGTAGCCATTTAACCTTATAAAGTGTTTTAACTCTCAACTTTTTCATAATTATCAATGTGGGACACTTATGTTATTTGGTAATGATATACTTCAACAGATACGATCAAACAATCTAAGAACTACGAATATTACATAATAATAATAATAATAATAATAATAATAATAATAATAATAATAATAATAATAATAGTCAAGGTAAAAAAATGTGTTAATGAAGGTTGCTGATCATGTAGGAACGACATTGTTACACCTTTATAGTTTTGATTATTCTGATGTAAAACTCTTCTTGTACGACTTTCATATTCGGCAATTGGAATTTTATTATCATCCAAATCTAATTGAGTTTTCAAAATTTAATTTCTTCTTAAGGACCAACAACAATAAATCTACAATCACTCCACATATAAAGTTACATACACACTTTATAAGATGTCAATAGCCCAAATAATATTGATTTTAACCAAATTTAACCGAGCATGCAAAATTCAATTTTTGCTTAATGAACAACTACAATAATTCAACAATCACTCCTCATATAAATTGAAGTTAAACCCATGCTTTATAAGATGTTACTAAACCAAATTGTTATTATTTAACTAATCATTCTACCTTGAACCTAATGAGCCTATGATAGTATGTGAATAACTAAATATGCCCGATAAGTTGTTTTTGAGGAGACTAACTATATTTTTATCCGTATTACTTTATTTCTTGTCAAATTAAAATCTAATTGAGTCAATTTTTAACAGTTCTAGATATGTCGGGATGAGGCCAAAAGAATTTGTACAAACAAGATGTAATTATCAAATGGGTAGTACTAAAACAAGTAATGGCCCTTAACAAAGTTGAAATAATAATGTGACTTATTAGGTGGGGTCACAAAAATTGTGATTGAAAATTACACAATTTAAAGCACTGTGATTCTTCCAGGATATGCATGTTATTATCATAGAGACAAGATTGATGGAGCAATACATAAACACCAATTTTCTTTTACGACCCTAAAAAACACCAATTTCTTTTTAGGTCGTGTAAGAATATATGCACATTTTATCTTTTCTGTTGTTTTATCTCAAAAGCCAAGTCCATTATATTATAAATCATGATGTTTTCACTATTTCTAACTTAATACGTTGCTTTAAATTTCAAATATCATTCAACTAATCAGCTTTGTCAAATTTTACTTAACTTAATCCCTAGGGAAGAAAAAAAGAAGAGGAATTGACCTTTTGATGAGTTACCGTAGGATGAAGGGTGTCCTCTAGCCCCACCATGGAAAAAATCACACTCGCTTTAGTTAAAGAATATATATATATGGTCTTGTTTGGTTGACAACATAATGGGGGAAGTGGAAATTCATGGAATTTGATAAATTGAGGAGTTGTTTAGTTGACACAAAAAAACAAAAATGAGGAAAGTGGAAATTCATGGGAATTTCAAATTCCCACAAAACAAGGGAAGTAAATTACCTAGCCCCCCCTTGGTCAATCAAAATTCATGAGGTTTCTAAATTCTCACATTGCCAACCAAACAAATTTAGAAAATTCTTAGGAATTTCATTATGGAAATAACTTCCCATGAAATGCAATTTCCTATGGAAATTTAATTCCCATGTCAACCAAACAAGGCCTAATTCTGAGAGTAATCGTGAATTTATTCATAAGAGATTTTTTCTCGATATCACTGTTTAATTTACACCTTGTTTACAGTGTATGTTGTTAAACATTACCTTTTAAAATTTGACCTTAACTCACTGTGCATTTGTGCAATATACGAAGTATTATCAATTTAACATTAAGTTATCAACGCCATTTTTACTTTAGGACCCGTCCCATCCCCTCTACCCCTTTCAATTCAGTGAGGATCGATCCCGAGACAAAACGACCTCTAGGAGATGGAAATAGTTAATTAACCATCATGTTGCTACCTCTTCCTCAAAGAAACCAATGATTTGAGTTTTGGAATGCCCTGAAAATGCAGGGGATTGATTAGTGCAAGAAAATTCTTTGGGAGCAAAATGAAGTAATTGTGTGATCGTAAAGTGGGTCCCACACATTCATTGTATGGATCTATTGTACATGTTTTGTGTGTCCTAGAATTGTGAATTAACTACCTTAGTTGCTAATATGTGGCTACAATTTGACGCTTTGTCTTCAAGATTGTCAATCTTTTGGTGGTTAAAGTCACAAGCTAATCCACAAGAGTTAAGAGGGCCCTGGTTACTTGATTTTTATGTTTGAGCTTTCGGGTACATCTCATAATTTTACGTTTATAAAAATCTCATAGCTAGCTTGTTCCACATTTTAAATACATTTACCATGTCATATGAAACTATTCACAATAACCTACATAATTAGTCATAATCTACAAAACGAGTTAGAATGCTCTCCAATTACTTGATTAACTTTTTCATCATGAAATAGCACCTTATTTTAATTTGCACATCAACCGGTAACTTTTAAATGTTGTATTGAGAAATGAAGGGAGAACTATTCGATTCATATTGGTACGTTCATAAATCATAATTCATACTTATCATAAATGAATTCTTGACTAATCAAAAAACTTTCATTATCAACACACGAAACTGTAATTATACGATATTAACAACATATCACACTGTAATTACCGTAAAATTTACTAGAAGAGGTAAAGAAGCGAAAAGAGCTCCTTAACTAAGGGTTAAAAAAAAAAAAAAAAACTACACCCTAAATAGAAGAAACATAAGAAGGAAATGGGTTAGCAAAGTCGCAAAGACTCGCACATGGCTTCATGCAAAACCATCTCCAAAAATCGCACACGCGTCTAGTGATTCATTTGACTTTGTGCAACCCATATTTATAGTAACGCTAGTCAATTATTGTGTACTTCTCTAATTATTGAGATTTACTAAAACTGTCTAGGATAATGTTTTTTTATATTTTTTTTTATTGGAATTCATTTTTAGTTGTTATTTTGTAATTGAAACATCTGTAAAGCCGTGATTATTATTATTAACTAAAATCTCTCATTATCTACTTAGTCACCTTTTTAGGAGCAAATTAATAGATAAAAAGGTTTACTAAGCAAAAGTTTTGTGCATTTTGAGTTATGGTTAAGAAACTAGTATGTACTTAAAATGGTATGGTATGGTATGGTATGATAATCATAACGTAAAACAAAGGTATCAAATATTTAATAAATTTGCCACATGTATATATTAAAGTATGATTTTTGGAGTATATTTTGTACTTGTGCAACTTGCATATGGCCTTAGTTGGGCTTGGATAACATGATCAAACTAAAACAATTAAACCATATGATTATAAGATATCACGATCAAATTAAACAAAATAACTATACATAGGCCTTGTTTAGTAAATATTACTTATTTAGATTATAAGTAATATAATACTAGTATACTACATATTATTAAATTAATTAAGTAAGATAAATATAACCATTCATGTCATAATTTGCATAGCAAGCCCCCTTCAGTCCTTCACTATATGACTATATCAACCATTGTCTTACCTTATGATATTATCATTTTTACAATTTTTTTTTCCTTATATCATCATCTGAAAATTGAAATAGCTTAAAGTGTATACCATAGAATTTTACGTATATGTAGTATTAAAATTTTATGGTTCTTGTAATTAATCAACCTTAATACTCCATGTATGTTTAATTTTATATTTTTATCGTGAGTATACAAAAGTGATACTCGTACGAGTTATAGGTTAGTTAAATGATAATGGGCTAGATTTTCTTCAAGAAAAAAAAAAAAAGTGGAATTAGTCATTGAAGTTTTAATAATGATTCAAAATTTATAATTGTATTGTAACTAATATTCTGTATAACCTTATTATTATTATTGCTATCCTTGCTTATAGAAAATACTTTATTAATCTCTATAGGGTTGTAAAAAAAAAAAAAAAACCCTTCTTCTATTAAAGATAGGGAAAGTATAGATTGAACTTTTAATACTTATTTTTCTGATACATGATTGAAGATCTCAATAAGTAGATATGCGTGTTGATAATTGAGCAAAAATCAAGTAAGAGTATATAATATTTAATTCAATCTAAAGCTATGTATAAATTCTTTTATTTTGAATTGGTAAGGAGGACCCTGATCAGACCTCAATCTTCATAGTTTTTGTTCAGTATTTACGGACTAAATACTTAGGGGTAGATAGAAGGATAAAAAATCTCAAGCAAAACTTTTCAAGTACCCTCAATTAATAAAATTCGAACCCTAAATCTCTAAGATTTAACATATGAATTTTATTAAGTGAGTCAACACCACACTTTGTAAAACAAATATGAAGAGTCGAAAACCAAAAAGCTTGAGAAAACAAAAGGGCTTTACGTATTCGACGCTCCACCGCCTTTGGAAATTCAATACAATGAAAAATTAACCCTTTATTAGTATTTCACTGACACCACCCTTAAAATCACCAATTATATTCTCACCTTCACCAATCATATCACACCACATGTCCTCCCAAATTCCACCTCATCAAAATCCCACGAATCTCCTCCACCTCTAGTATTTTCCACATTTTTTAACCGCTTTTGGTAACTATTAAAATCCATTTTAATTAATTTTTACCTTAATTCTCAAAAATCTTAACCATGGTTAAATTAACCCTTTATATACCCCTCTTCATCTAGCCGTCTTTTGCTATCATATCCTCGGACACGAATCAAAACTACAAACACTTACCAAATAACACTTTTTTACTTTATTATTGTTTGTATACATTCATTTCTTTCTCTAAAAACCCAAAATCAAAATGATGATCGGAGAAACCCGCCGTCATCATCAGATTGATGTACCGCCATGGCAGGAATCTTATTCTCCCACGACGGTACGTATCTCATCCCCAGCCTCGTCACCGCCGCTACAATCAAATAGCGGCGGTGCAGGCTCTAATCATCTCCCTAATTCCCCCACTTACTACGACGCTGTTTTAGCGTCCCTTCGTCGATACCTTCTTGCTGACGCCGTTGATAAGGAGTCCTCTCCGGCGGCGGCGACTGTGGATTATTCCAGTGAGGTTGATTTTTTATCAGGTGAATATGATGATGATTTTTTTATGTATGATTTCAAGGTTCGGAAGTGTACTCGGGCTCGGGCCCATGATTGGACTGAGTGTCCCTTCGCCCATCCTGGCGAGAAGGCGAGGCGAAGGGACCCGAGGAAGTTTAGCTATTCGGGAACGGCGTGTTCCGAGTTTAGAAAAGGCGGATGCAAGAAGGGTGACGGGTGTGAGTTTGCGCACGGGGTGTTCGAGTGCTGGCTACACCCGACCCGGTTCCGGACCCAGGCTTGTAAGGACGGGCCCGGGTGTAAGCGCCGGGTTTGTTTCTTTGCCCACACGCCTGACCAACTCCGGACTGGGCCGGGCCTTGGTAGCCCGAGAGGAAGTGGGCTTGTCTCGGTCTCCGAGGACAGCGCCATCAACACCCCGTCGGTAGGCGACCTCATGGCGTCCATCAGAAACCTACAACTCAACAAGGTCAAATCAATGCCTAACTCGTGGGGGAGTCACCCCATGCACGTGAATGGCTCGCCCGTATTCGGGTCGCCTCGCGGGGTTGGGACTCCCACGGCAATAAGCCGGGCTGGGTTCTTTAGCCTGCCGACAACCCCAACCCGGCCAAGGATCGGGTATTGGGACAATCAAGATATAGGTGAGGAAGATGAGCAGCCTGTGATGGAAAGGGTTGAGTCTGGAAGGGAGTTAAGGGCTCGAATGTTCGAAAAGTTGAGCAAAGAAAACCCTCTTGATGGGTCGGGTAGCCCACTGTCAACATCAGCACCCGGATCAAGTCCCGATTTCGGGTGGGTGTGTGATCTCATTGAGTGAATACCACACCCTAGAATACATACCCATTTGGATATGAGTACGTAAAACCCATATTTTCTTACCATGGAGTAAATTAATTAGGATCAAGGTGATTTGAGAAGAAAAAATAATTTCACTTAAAAAAAATATTTTTTCCAAATTTTTTTTCCCCAAGAATTTTTAACTAAAAAATTTGGGTATTAGAAGCATTAATTAATTATTTACTACTCATATTATAATTATCATTAGTTTTTTTAATTTTTTTTTTTTAATTTGGCAGCCGTAAAAAAATTCTGCTGACCCAAAGGAAGTACCCATAAATTTTGGGAGATTTCAAGATTTACTATGAAAGGAATGATATTATAGATAAAACTTTCCCAAATATGTGGGGGTGTTAAGGAATAAAAAAAAAAAAATCAGCTTTTATTTTTTTTCAATTTATTTTTAATTTTTCTACCTCTTTCTTATTTTGTACAGCTGAAGCCTACTCTTTATTTTTTTCTACGAAGCTGCCTAAGAAGGAAAATGAAGAGGAAGACAAGTAATTTCCCATTTTAAGCATGTGATTTTTCGTATCGATTATTATTATTGTTATTTGTGCTACGAGTCACAGATAATGAGTTTTATGATGATTAATAGTTGTTAATTAGCTTTGGTTTTCTATATTTAGGTTGTAAATATTGTGAACTACTCTTACAATTATTATATAATGGTAATGTATAATTATTTGTTTGCTATTTTTACCGAGTGATTGGATTTTGTACGAATAGTGTCAGAAATGCTTGTTTTTTTTTATGTGATTTATGGGTTGCTTAGAATGGCTAGTATTTATGGACCACTAGCTAGAATAATTGGTAGTGTTTTGTCTATATTTGTAAAGATTGAACAAGATGTATTTGCTACTTTGTAGCACTAATTAAGTCCCTTGCGTTTTCAATGGTGTTCGTTGACACCCTTTTCATGCTATATACTCCTTCGTTAATTTTTATTTGCAACTTTGGGGGGTTTTGCGGTTCACGAGGCAAAATTTAAGGGGCAAACATTAGTGGGAGTAAATGAAAGTGATTAAAGTGTTTGGAGAGAGAAAGTTGGCCCACTCACTAGCAAATAAAACTAATTAAAGTGTTTGGAGAGAGAAAATTGGCCCACCTACTAGTAAAATTATTAAAATTAGAATTTTTAATTAAGGGTAAATTTGTAATTTTCAGGGTTTGTGCACTAAAAATAGAAATAAAATAGAAAGTTGCACATAATGGTTGGCGGACTAAAATGGCAAAAGCTGCAAATAAAAATTAATGGAGGGTGTAGATGTAATTAAGGGTGAATACGGTCCGGTTTGAGTACCAAACCAAACCGAAAAATACAGTTTGGTCAATTTTTCAAACCAAATAAAACCATATTAGTATTCAAACGGGACCAAACCAAACCGTAATAATGCGGTTTGGTGTGCGGTTTTACTTCATTAATTTATAATAAAGTTTAAATATTATTAGCCCAAACGAATTAAATTGCACTATAAATTTACATTAAAAATAACAATTAATTGATGAGTAAAATGCATTTTAGGGGATTCACCTTCTGTACATTTCCTCATTTGGGGACTCACATTTCACTTTTCATCGTTTGGGGATTGCCAATAGGTATTAAAAATTTTCCGGTGAAGTAAATTATTTAATTTTTTTCTTACAGCTGGCTTCATAAATAGTTTGACTTAGTTATATAAAAATTACAACACATATTCCTCCTAATAAAATAAAGCACAACTAATTAAAATAACCCAGATTAGACTAAAGTCAAGGAACTTGTATTTTCTCAAACGAGAGACGCTAGCATAGTTGACGAAAGCTTCTTCAACACTCTTCAAAAAACATTCATTACTCTTCATTATAGGTATCGTATCTAAATGATAGTGTTTTTGGGATTAGATGACTTTTTTCTTAACTCTGGTTGTGTATGTAATTGATAAGGGTTTAGGGTATTGTTTAGATATTTGAAATTTTTTTGGCAAAATTGGTTAATATATAAGGGATCATGTATGATATATGATAGATTGAAGAAAGTTAGTATGCTTATCTCCCAATTTTTGTGGACTAGGGTTTTGTGGTTTGCTTGAACATAATATTAGATTAAGAAAATTGAAAACAAAACAGAGTAAGGAGAGGTTGAATTTATAGGTTTAGGATATGCAATTTGTATACTACAAGAGGGGGGGGTGAATTGTAGTGTATGTAGACTATGGTAAATTTTGCGGAATTAAATCTACTACTAAGAGAAAAGACACTGAGATAGGCAATGAATAAATTCACTATGTAAAAATGATTTACAATCACTAATACGTTTCCTAGACTCAAGTTCCGTGAGGAACTCAAGTTACCCAACTGTGATCCCTCAATCACAGTTTCTCACACTTTGTGATTCTACTCCGAATCACTTGTACAGTGTAAACAACTCTCTCAAGTCTCACACTTTACAACTCTCACAACCCAAACCCAATTACACAATGATTACAAGTATTTCCTAAAGAACTTAAGAGACTAAGGATGGAAGAAACTTCTCTTTTAAACACTTTGAAACTCTATGCTCAGAATACTTAAGATTGTTTTTCCACACTTTCAAAACTTAACGTTGATCTGTTTTTATAAGGAGTTAAACCAAGCTTCCATCAAATTCCCACTTCCCCCTTAATCCCACGTTCTCTTTGGTTGAGAAGTTGGGATGTAGGCAGAGGAAATTTAGGAACATGATTTCCTTAGCTTGACTCCCAAGTTCAACGTTCTCCTTAATACTAGGAGCCAGTATTTAGCAAGTCAAAAAAATCAGTTATTCAAAAAGATAATTATTTAATAAAAAAGATAATTATTTATTTATTAATTAAAAGATAAATAATTAATTAATTTAAAAAGATAAGTTTTAAATTAATGAATTATTTATTTATTTATAAAATCTTTTTTAAATCTTTTTCAAAACTGATTTTTATCACTTCCTTAAATTAAGGGTTTTGAAAACCGTTTTAAAACTTTCGTTTAAAACTTTCTGAGTCAATCGTCAAGTTCCTTCGGGAACTTCAGGTTCCTTCAGGAACTTCGAGTTTCTTCTTAATTCCTTCCATTCCTTCCAACACTTTTGTTTCTTAAGCTCGTACACTGAGTAACTAAGTATATAGAGTTGTGAGGACATCTTAAAAGCTTGCATTCATCATCAAGTCTTCCAAACTCTGTTGTTCCTACTCCGGAACATGTATTTGTGTACCCGAATCTTTCTGTTCAACCAAGACTCATAAATATCATGTCAGAGTTTGTTTTACGTAAGTCAATCATCAAAATATTAAGGTAGTCAATTCAACAATATTCCCCCTTTTGATGATGACAAACAAAAACAAACTCGGTTAAACAAAACAAACATCCAAGCAATCAGAGTAACCAATACTTAAATAAAACAATTAAATTATTTAAAGCAATAAAATAAACTAAGGATAAAGAAGTCTGCATCATTCATGAAATTAATAAATTATGAAAGTTATACCTTTACTTAAATGATGAAGACTTGAAGGGAATCGGTTTGAGTCCAGCTTTCTGAGTTTGTTCTTCTCTTCCCCCTTTTGACATTATCAAAATGATAGAAAGAGCATGCTATATATAGTACTAAACTACGGAGGGAGTAGTAAATCTGAATTCATGAACGATTAAGCATGCGCACACAGTTCATATGCAACCAAAATGAGAATGTCAATTCCAAAGAGAAAACAAAGCCAGTTCCTTAGTACAAACCGAAACAAAAAAAATTGTGCAAGATAAAACAGAAAATAAAAATTAAAAACAAAACATCACTGTTCAATATAAATAGCAAAAGAGGCTAAGTGATGTAGGCTTAGGCTTTGGGTGTTGTGGAGGTTGTTCAGGTCTGGGCAAGGGTAGATATTCACGAAATGCAGTAAAGCCAAATGGAGAGAAACTAGGTAGGTTAGGATAAGGAACTTGGAGAAGTTTCTTTTGAAAAGGAACATGGTGGTTAGGAACTTCAACGGGATTTATGTCATCTGGGTCAGATTGTGAATTAAGTGTATGTGAACTTCATCCCTTCTTTGCCATCATATCCTTTGTCTCCTTCTGTTCCTTTATCACCCTTAAACTTTTTCTCTCATTTCCTCTTCTGTATTTTTTTTTTTTTTTTTTGATATACCATCAACTTCCTCTTCTAACTCATCTTCTCCCTCAGAAAGATCAGCCACACTTTTGGCCTCATCTTCTTCAACAATATTTGATTCCACCTCAGTTTGTTCCCTCGATTTTCCAACAAAAATAGTTACACCATTTTCTACTTTAAGATTCAATTCAAACAATGCCCTTTCACCTGAAGTATTTTCTGTTTCAGAGATATATGGTGGGATGTTGCAAGAGTAATTCCAAAACACTGAAATATGAAAGAAAGTAAGGGGCCATATGGTATGGTGTATTTGGAACAAAGGTAGGTTCCTGTTCAAAAGAAACATGAGCAGCAGGAAAGTATACAGGCACATCAGGGACAGTGTAGGTGGAGTGGTGGTATGGTGGGAGTTTTTATGGTGGTTTGGGTGGTAATTGAAATGGTGAAGATGGATGGTGAAGTGACGTTTTTTAGGTGGAATGAATTTGGGTAAGTGTGTGAGTGGGGTGAAAGGATATGACGGTTGAGGGTTGAGTGGAGGGGTTTTGAGTTTTTAATTTGTAATTTTATTGAACAATGATAAAATTTAAAATTAAAAAGATAATAAAAAAAATCTAATGGAGAAAGAAAAAAAATCTTTTTGTATTTTTGAGTATAGGATTAATGATAATAAAAAGAATTAGAAAAAGATAACAATAAGAAAATTATGGAAATAAAAAGAAAATTAATGATGATAAAAAAATAAGAAAAAGATAAAGAATAAAAGGATAAAAAAAAATTAAATAGTTTGCCAGGAAATTACGTGAGGTAATTTACTGGTCAACATGTACAGAGGTTTGTTACTTTAACAAAAAGGAACTTGGAAACAACATGGCTCAATTTGTCTTCTTCGTTAACATAATCATATGATCACACACAAAATAGAATTGCACACTCTTTCATTGCAAGATTCAAGATTATGTTTTTCACACCAAGGTTATATATAGCAATGCTCAGTCGTTTTACTAAGACATACCTTGGGGTTCCATGAAGAACTGCTCAGTTCAGCTTTATCATTCCAAGTTCCAATCGCATCTTTTCGAATTTTTCTCTACTCAAGGGCTTAGTAAGAATGTCAGCAATTTGATATTCAGTTTGTACAAAATCTAATCTTATAGAGCCCTTTTCCACATTATTTTTTAAGAAATGATGCCTTACATGAATGTGCTTTACACGTGAGTGGTGTATTGGATCTTTTGATATGCAAATAACACTAGTATTATCACAATATATGGGAACACATTCAAGAACTATGCCAAAATCACGTAGTTGTTGTTTTATCCACAACAGTTGTGAGCAACATGTAGCAGCTGCTATGTATTCTGCTTCTGCTGTGGATAGAGCAACTGTATTTTGTTTCTTGGAACTCCAAGAAACTAGACATGAACCTAGGAATTGGACCATACCTGATGTACTTTTTTTGTTTACCAAGTCCCCAGCATAGTCGGCATCAGCAAACCCATAAAGATCGTATGTGTCACTTCTTAGGTAGAATAAACTCAAGTCGTCAGTTCCTTTGAGATATCTCAGTATTCTCTTGATGGCTGTTAGATGCGATTCTTTAGGATTTGATTGGAACCTAGCACACAGACCAACACTAAAAGAAATGTCAGGTCTACTTGCAGTTAAGTATAGTAGAGAACCAATCATACCTCTGTACTTTGTCATGGTCCACACAAGTTCCTGAGGGATCTTCGTCTAACCTAGAATTAGTTCCTATAGGAGTGTGGTTAGTCTTTGCGCTGTCAAGGTTATACTTTTTCAGGAGTTCCTTGACATATTTTTGCTGATGTATAAATATTCCTGATTCTGTTTGTTTGATCTGCAGTCCTAAAAAGAAATTGAGTTCTCCCATCATGCTCATTTGGAACTCACTGCACATCAAGTCAGCAAAGTACTTGCACAAAGATTCGTTAGTTGCACCAAATATAATATCATCAACATAGATCTGCAAAACTAAGAGATGAGTTCCTTTAGATTTTAAAAACAAAGTTTTATCAATTTTTCCTCGTTTAAAATCATTTTCCAAAAGGAACTTGGACAGTCTTTCGTACCATGCTCTTGGAGCCTGTTTTAGCCCGTAGAGAGCCTTATCAAGTTTAAAAACATGGTTTGGAAAGTTTGGATTCTCGAATCTAGGGGGTTGATTGACGTAAACTGTTTCTTTTAATAAACCATTCAAAAACGCACACTTTACGTCCATCTGATACAGTTTAAAACCCATAAAAGCAGCAAAAGATATTAAAATTCTAATAGCCTCAAGTCTAGCAACAGGAGCAAATGTTTCCTAAAAAACAATACCTTCCTGTTGGTTATATCCCTTTACAACCAACCTAGCCTTATTTCTTACAATTGTACCATATTCATCAAGTTTGTTTCGAAAGACCCATTTTAAACCTATGACCTTTTTATCTAGTGGCTTAGGTTCAAGATGCCATACCTGATTTCTTTTGAATTCATTAAGTTCCTCTTGCATGGCTATAATCCAGTCAGGGTCTTCTAAGGCTTCTTTATGGTTGCGAGGTTCCAAAGTAGATAGAAAAGCATTGAAGGCACAGAAGTTCCTCATTTGCGATCTAGTCTGAGTTCCTTTGCATAAGTCACTAATAATTTTGTCCAGTGGGTGTGACTTTTGGTGCTTCCAAGGTTTGGGCTGGAAGGTTTGGATAGTAACTCGACTATTCTTATTTTCTGAGCCAGTTGCTTCTTCTTCAGTGATTTCCTCTTGTGTTATTGGTTCCTCGGCAGGTTCTTCAATTTGAGGCTGTTTTGTCGAAGGAACTTCAGTCAGTATGTCGAGTTCCTTCTCCGGATTTTCATGACTTTCATTTACTCGAGTTGGCTGCTTATTTGGAATTATTGCATCTTCTTCTTGTTCTTGAGAACGTACTAGACCAATTTCAAAGTCATAGTCCTCATGTTCCTGTGTACATGGAAGTGGATTAGTTTCATCAAATATAACATGCACACTTTCCTCAACACACATAGTACATTTATTTTAAACTCTATACGCTTTACTGTTAGTAGCATATCCAAGAAATACGGCTTCATCACTTCTTTCATCAAATTTCCCTATGTTTCTTTTACCATTATTATGCACAAAACATTTACAACCGAATGCTCTAAGATGAGATATGTTCGGTTTTCTGCCTTTCATCAGTTCATAGGGTGTCTTATTTAATATAGGCCTTAGCATGACACGATTTATAATATAACAGGCTGTATTCACGGCTTCTGCCCAGAAGTTCCTTGGAAGATCGCTGGCTATTAACATGGTTCGAGCCATGTCTTCTAAGGTTCTGTTCTTCCTTTCCACAACTCCATTTTGCTGTGGAGTTCTTGGAGCTGAGAAATTATGACTTAAGCCTTGTTCCCTGCATAAATCATCAAAATTAAAATTCTCAAATTCAGTGCCATGATCGGATCTAAGGTGTATCAGTTGATGACCTGTGGACTTTTGAATTCTCCTGGAAAATGTAACAAACTTGTCAAAAGTCTCATCCTTACTAGACATAAAAATAACCCATGTAAATCTAGAATAATCATTAACAATTACTAAGACGTACTTCTTTCCACTTCTACTTTGAATTCTCATAGGACCACATAAATCCATATGAATTAACTCTAAGGGTTTCGTGGAACTCACCATCTTCTTGGATTTAAAGGATGTCCTGACCTGCTTTCCTTTTACACAAGCGTCACAAATTTTGTCACATAGGAACTTGATTGAAGGAAGTCCCTCTACCAAGTTCCTTGTTCTTAACTTATCAATCAAAGAGAAACTTGCATGACCAAAACGTTTATGCCACAGTAAAGGATCATCCTCAATGACACTGAGGCAAGTTAAGTTGTTCCTCGGAACTGTATTGAGATCCACTGTATAAGTGTTTCCTTTCCGAGTTCCTTCCAGCAAAACTTTCCCAGTGTCATTCTGAATGATGCTACATTTTTCAGAATCAAAACTTACAGAGTTTCCTTTATCACAAAATTGTGATATGCTTAATAAGATGTGTTTGAGGCCCTCGACTAAAAAAACATTATCAATAGCTTGGGAACTTGACCTTCCAACTTTTCCTACGGCAACAATGTTGCCTTTCTTGTTATCACCAAAGGTCACTGTTCCTCCTGTATAGGCCGTCAGAGAGAGAAATCTTGATTCATCTCCTGTCATGTGCTTGGAACAACCACTATCGAGGTACCATTGGTTGTTCCCCCTCACTACGACCTGCAAAAGAAACTAAGGGTTAGATTCAGGAACCCCATCTTTCATGGGTTCCTTTGTTGATACAGCAAACTCATTTTTCTTTTGCCATACATAAGCTATATTTTTAGTGGACTTAAGTTCCTTTCTTTTGCAATCAGTATCTTTGTGTCCTGACTTGCCACAGAAGGAACACACAGCCTCACTAGGGAGTTCCACATACTTTTTCTTTTTACCACTGTTCTTCTTTTTGTGGTTGAAACCCAAACCCTCTGTCCTTCTGGTTTGAGCTTCAGATATCCACTTTGGAACTCCCATGTGGATTGCACTTTTGTTGTTTCTAGCTCTTTCTAAATCCTTTTCAAGGGATTCATTTTTGTCTTTAGTAACCTGCAATTCTTTTTTCAAATTTTCAAGATCATCATTAAAGGTTACTAAAGGCAATTGAAGAGCATTATTAGAATCAATGTTAGTGCATAACAATTTATACTGAGTCAATTCAACATTTAATATGATATTTTCATTTTCGACTCTTTCCAATGTTTCCTTTAGCATAGAGTTTCTATCTAGCAAATTAAAGAATCTTCCCTGAACATCTGTTCTTGAACTATTCAAATATTTCATATGATCCTTATAGATTTCTAGAGCTTTTTCATTTTGTCCAAGTTTAAGACATATTTCTTTATATTCATCCAAAGTTTCTATGAGCAAAGAAATTAATTTGTCTTTTGATAGAGATTTCAGAAATTTAGGTTCGAGATTTACCTCCTCTGACTTTTTAGCAGACACACTGTGTTTAGCCATCAAACACAGGTTTGCCGTCTCTTCTTCCGTGGATTCTTCTTCATCCTCGGAACTTGTGTCTCCCCACGCAGCTATCATGGCTTTCCTGTAATCAGATTTTGAAAAGTTTGGAGTATTAGATTTTCCGTGTTCCTTCATTTTGCCTTTTCCTTTTTTTGATTCCCAGAGAGGGCATTCCTTGATGAAGTGATCTGTGTTCCCACATTTGTGGCATCCTCCAGTTTCCTTGGAATATTTGTTTTTCTTGAAGTTCCTTTTCTTTTGGTCACCAAACCTTTTGTTGCGGTACAACTTTTTTAGCTTCCTGACTAGCATGGCAACTTCTTCCTCTCCAGATTCGGAATCCTCTTCACTTGGTTGGACAACCTTTAGAGCAATTCCTCGGCTCTTTGAACTTTCTTGGCTTTTGTTTGATAGGTGAAGCTCATGAGTTATTAAGGAACCTGCAAGTTGTTCAAGGTTGAAAGTTGTAAAGTCCTTTGATTCCTGCAAAGCTGCCACTTTGGATCTCCACCGTTCATCTTCAGGAAGACTCCTTAGAATTTTGCGTACCTGTTCATCCATAGGAATAACTCTACCAAGAGAAACTAATTCATTAGTAATATTTTTAAAACGAGTAAATATTTCTTGAATAGTTTCTTTTGAACCCATTTCAAAACGTTCATATTTAGAAAGCAGTATATCAATTTTAGAACGTTTAACTTCATGAGTTCCTTCGTGGGTTATTTCTAGTAAATCCCATATTTCTTTTGCTGTTTTACATCCCATAACACGAGTGTGTTCATCTGGCCCTAAACCCCAAACTAGGAGTTTTTTAGCAGTAGCATTAATCTCTTTCTTCTCAAAGTCGCTTCTATCGTATTCAGAAATAGGTTTAGGAATTACCTCGTTTTCTGCATTGGTCTTTGTTACCTCGTAATCTCCTACCTCGATAGCTCGCCAGACTTGATAATTCTCGGACTGTATGAACATCTCCATCCTCGTCTTCCAATAGGCGTAGTACTTCTCATTGAAGAGTGGAGGTCTTTGTGTAGAATAACCTTCAGCTAGTCTCTCGTCCTTCGACATTGTTCCTCCAGGAACTTGACTCGACAGGGCTTCCTGCTTTTCCGAGTTCCTTGCTCTGATACCAATTGATAGAACAATGTATACTACAAGAGGGGGGGGGGGTGAATTGTAGTGTATGTAGACTATGGTAAATTTTGCGACATTAAATCTACTACTAAGAGAAAAGACACTGAGATAGGCAATGAATAAATTCACTATGTAAAAATGATTTACAATCACTAATACGTTTCCTAGACTCAAGTTCCGTGAGGAACTCAAGTTACCCAACTGTGATCCCTCAATCACAGTTTCTCACACTTTGTGATTCTACTCCGAATCACTTGTACAGTGTAAACAACTCTCTCAAGTCTCACACTTTACAACTCTCACAACCCAAACCCAATTACACAATGATTACAAGTATTTCCTAAAGAACTTAAGAGACTAAGGATGGAAGAAACTTCTCTTTTAAACACTTTGAAACTCTATGCTCAGAATACTTAAGATTGTTTTTCCACACTTTCAAAACTTAACGTTGATATGTTTTTATAAGGAGTTAAACCAAGCTTCCATCAAATTCCCACTTCCCCCTTAATCCCACGTTCTCTTTGGCTGAGAAGTTGGGATGTAGGCAGAGGAAATTTAGGAACATGATTTCCTTAGCTTGACTCCCAAGTTCAACGTTCTCCTTAATACTAGGAGCCAGTAGTTAGCAAGTCAAAAAAATCAGTTATTCAAAAAGATAATTATTTAATAAAAAAGATAATTATTTATTTATTAATTAAAAGATAAATAATTAATTAATTTAAAAAGATAAGTTTTAAATTAATGAATTATTTATTTATTTATAAAATCTTTTTTAAATCTTTTTCAAAACTGATTTTTATCACTTCCTTAAATTAAGGGTTTTGAAAACCGTTTTAAAACTTTCGTTTAAAACTTTCTGAGTCAATCGTCAAGTTCCTTCGGGAACTTCAGGTTCCTTCAGGAACTTCGAGTTTCTTCTTAATTCCTTCCATTCCTTCCAACACTTTTGTTTCTTAAGCTCGTACACTGAGTAACTAAGTATATAGAGTTGTGAGGACATCTTGAAAGCTTGCATTCATCATCAAGTCTTCCAAACTCTGTTGTTCCTACTCCGGAACATGTATTTGTGTACCCGAATCTTTCTGTTCAACCAAGACTCATAAATATCATTAGTTAGAGTTTGTTTTACGTAAGTCAATCATCAAAATATTAAGGTAGTCAATTCAACATCAGATTATAGAATTTTGGTGATCAACAATCTCTAACGATGAAAAGTGAAAGGTGAGTTCCAAAATGATGAAAAATACGAAAGGTGAATCTCCAAAAATGCATTTTACTCATTAATTGATCATCATAATACATTACTATACGTATACCTATGTTGTATTTTGATTTTTAATGTTTTTATTATTATTTATTATTATTTTTTTAATATATAATAATTATTTTAATGTATTTAAAAATTATATAAATATTAAAATACGGTTTATTGGTTTACGGTTTGGTTTGGTTTATAATTTTTGAAAAACCAAATCAAACCGTAAACCATATTTACAAAAAATCCTAAACCAAACCATATTATTATAACCCGTAAATCAAATCAAACTGCTAAAATATGATTTGATCCGGTTTAGTTACGATTCAGAACAAACTGTATACAACCCTAAATGTCATGTATCAATTATATATATTTGAGTCGCTGTCAATATTGATGGTCGATGGATTGTACGATGGACATTTGTGTGTTCGTGGTTTGGTGTGGTATGAATCGAGATCTAATTATTTTGGATTTTTTATGCATTACGAACAAGATAAAATTTTGTCTTGATTAAGGGTTTATTAAGGATTATTTTGTTGTTTTGTTTGCACATAATTATACCACTTTTGTGGTGGTTTGCTTAATGTTGGATAAAGATATTACGATAATTAGGTAGTGATCGGGTTTAAGGTTAAAACAAGTGGATTTTTAATTGATTGCATGTGAGAAAGTTTTAGTAATTATGTTGATACTGATTTTTGATTGTTTGCAATGGATTTTGATAATTAGTAAAGGAGATATGAGAACTTAAGTGGGGATTGCATTGTTTCTGTCATGTTAAAGCTACCCTAACTTTTTTAAAGGATGTTTAAATTAGGGGAAGCTTCTCTAGTCAAGGCATGGTATGGGTCACGAAAGAGATCAGTTAGATAGATGTACTTGGTATTTTTTTTTTACAAGATAAGAGGATTGGATGAATGAAAATTCATAAGCTTATTATCTCCCATCATGTGATTTATTAGATCCTAAGATCGATTCTCACCCTGTCCTTTGTGACTCTCTAAAGATGAAAAAAAAAAGAAAAGAATATGATGTATGCCAAGAGAGTACGTCATTGCTCTTTAAGAAGAATGTTGATAATGTGTTGTACACTTACAAACTCATGTTTTCACCCGAGCTTGTTAGATTTAATGTAAATTAAATAACACGATTTCACATATTAAGTTATTTTTTTTTGTTTTAAATTGTAATCGTTATTCTTGAAGAACTGAGGTTGCAAGCTAGAGGAACAAGTCATGGCCTTTGCTTTTTTTACTTTTTGCATGCACCTTAATTAATTATTAGTGAGTTGTGATATTGACATTGTTTCTCAAAATTTGATCATTTTCCAAATTTGTAGCATTGAAAAAAGCTCACTCAATCACCAATTCACCATATGCATACGTTTTTACTCTTTATTATCTTCGATTTTTTTGGAGGAAAAAATAATGGACTTTAATTGCACTTTCTCTTATCCTATTATCCATTTATTATCTCACATAAACTACAAGCCTACAAGTAGGATCGATTAATGTTTTCTATGGCCCAATTAGCATAATTGGAAAGTTTGAAACTTCTTCATTAAGACTAGAATTAATGGAATCATCTATACGTGGATGCCACTTAGGTGTTATAGGTAGTACTTGATGTACTATATTAGAAGGGGGGGGGGGTTTGGATTACCTTAAGATAAGAGATTTTATCTTCCAAATTCTATTAAATAAAAGTTTTTGGCGATAAGGATTTCCTTTATTATTGCGAAATTGTATTGTTGAATTAGTCAATACGTCTTTTT